AGCCCCCTCTCTTCTGACCCCCTCACTCACCCCCTCTGGCCCAGCCACTGTCTCCTCCGCTGCCCCCATGGATTTACTGGGCCCCATGGAAATGACGGAGGGTTCTCTCTGCTCCTTCGCAGCCGCTGATGACTTCTACGATGACCCGTGCTTCAACACATCGGACATGCACTTCTTCGAGGACCTGGACCCCCGGCTGGTGCATGTGGGGGGTCTCAGAAGCCAGCAGTGACAGCAGCGGAGAAGAGCATGTGCTGGCACCCCCGGGACTACAACCCCCTCACTGCCCCGGCCAGTGTTTGATCTGGGCTTGTAAAACTTGCAAGAGAAAGTCGGCCCCCACGGACAGACGGAAAGCAGCCACCCTGCGGGAGAGGAGGAGACTGAAGAAGATCAACGAAGCCTTCGAGGCTCTGAAAAGGCGGACTGTGGCGAACCCCAACCAGCGCCTGCCCAAGGTGGAGATCCTGCGCAACGCCATCCGCTACATCGAGAGCCTGCAGGCACTGCTGCGGGAGCAGGAGGACGCTTATTACCCGGTGCTGGAGCACTACAGTGGGGAATCGGATGCCTCCAGCCCCCGCTCCAACTGCTCCGATGGCATGGTGAGTGCGCCAGGGAGGACACCCTACCACCACGCCGCCCCGGACACTGTCGGTCCAAACCTGCGCAGGGCGAGTCGCCTCCTCCTGCCTTTCTGATAGCAGCTGCCTTCCGTATCTCCCCAGGCAGAAGACAAAGTCCTTTCTTGTGCCTTGAGCTCCAGCAGCAAAGGGAGGTGGGGTTCCTGCATGCCAGGATCTCTGGGAAAGAAGAAAAAACTCTTACACACTTTTTTCCCTGGGATGAGAAGTTAGGCAGGTCCCCTTTTGTCCTGGGGGAGCCAGGGGAGAGCTGCTGGCAGAGCACTTTGAGAAGCTGCCTGGGATGGGTACCTGGGGACATGATGGGGTCTGAGCCCTGCCTGTGCTCCCATAGCTGCTGGGGCATCTTTGTTTCCATCTTCTGCTGTACCATTACCTTTGAATCCTCTAAGGACAGCAGAGGAAGGTCCCCCTCGGTCATAGTAGTTACAGGGGTACTGATAAGAATCTGGGTTTTGTTTTCTGCGATTTGTCATGATAACAGCAGGAGGTTCCAAGCAACAGGAATTGTTTTTCTTGACCTCTAAGAAAAAGGTTCTCAATTTCTCCTCTCGCCATCCTCTCCATAGACATTTACCAGCAATAGGAAGGAGAGCCCAGGCTTTAAGGCCTGCTTGTACGTTATGTCAAGGGGAGAAGAAGGGTGGGTGCCAGACAGGGTGTCTCATCACTGCATTTTTGTGCTGGGACTATAGGCTCAGACTCTGGTCTGACTGCGGGGGTGAGACGCAGGAGTGCAGGGCAGCTGTCTGGGATGGGATATCCACTACACTTTAAAACCTGAGATTTTTTTCTGTGCTCTGGTGGGCATAATCATTAATGAGTTGAATACCTGCAATTATGAGACAGTTGTCAGATTGGAGAGAAGATTTTCACAAATGATCCTTTCTCAAAATACAGTGTTTTTCTTTTGTCACTAAGAGTAATTGCCTTGCGGATTAAGGTATTGGAAACAAATATATTGGTCAATGTTTTGGGGCTTTTTCTGTACAAAATGGAAATCAGAAGAGAAACTAAAGGAAATAAAAAGGGACAAATGTAGACAGAACCTTTTTGAGAGGAACTTATGTTTGGCAAAACCTTCAAAAATTAAAATAGAAAAACCTCATTCCCCCTTTGGTCTCCCTGTTGTAAATTGAAGATACACATAGGACAGTATCTGATCAGAATGCTGGAAAAACTCATCTCATTGATAAAGCTACAGCATTCGATGCAACAACAACGGTAATTTTCCTTTGGAACAGCTGTGCCACATAAAATATTCTGGGGTGAATCCCCTTCTAGCCAAGCTAAGTTCTACCACATTCAAAGAAACAACTTGATAGCATTTCAGCCAGGACTGTAATGATGGCACAGACTAGGGGCTGAAATATGAAATTGGGGTTGCTGGGATTTCAGTAAATGCTGTCCCCAGCCAGTGACCTCACTCAGATTGCTCTCCTTTCCAGATGGAGTACAGCGGGCCTCCTTGCAGCTCTCGCAGAAGAAACAGCTATGACAGCAGCTACTACGCAGAATCACCAAATGGTAAGTATGTGCCGTTAATGGCTCTGTGAAACATGGAGACAGAGGCAGTCAATGCAGCAGACTCTCCCGTGCCTTCTCTATCCCCAGTTGTTTAGCTGACCCCAGCTGGGCCGAAAGAGGAACCTGCCTTTTCAGCCAGCAAGCAGCTGATGCTAATAGAAGCATTGGATTTCTTCTAGATGTATTTTATAGCTGCATTTCCTATTTTGCAAATATAACATCTAGATAAAAATATATTTCTCCCTGCAATTAATTTTCAGTGTTTAACCATATTTTGCATGAAGACTCTTCTAACTCTGTCTGTCATTGATCCAAACTGGAGAAATTGCTGATTGATTTAAAATCTTCCCTTCCCTTTCTATGGACTAAAGTGAAGTTCTGGATCCACCCTGCCCTCAAAGCAGCATACTTTGTTGTTGTGTCTCTCTTCCATTTTGCAATTGCAATCTCTGTTTTCTGATAATTGGTGTTCTTCACCAATATTCATTTCCTCTGAATCTTCACATGCTCACAGAATCATACTGTCAGCCACTCACGGGGGTTTTATGAAAGAACTACATCCCACTGACGCTGAGTACCCATTGGATAAACTGAGCACCTTTTTGTCTGTTTTTTAGATCCAAAGCATGGCAAGAGTTCTGTTGTTTCCAGCCTCGATTGCCTCTCGAGCATTGTAGAGAGGATTTCCACAGATAACTCCACATGTCCTATACTGCCTCCAGTGGAAACTGTTGCTGAAGGGAGTCCCTGTTCCCCCCCAGAAGGAGCGAATCTGAATGATAGCGGAGCCCAGATTCCTTCCCCTACCAGCTGCACCCCACTTCCCCAAGATAACAGCAGCAGCAACCCTATCTACCAAGTGCTATAAAGGCAGGTCCGGCTTGACTGCGCTGAAAAGAAATTGCTCCATTCATCCACGCTCCGAGACCTGCCTTCTAAGACTGAAGAGACTTCTTAAGACTTGTTCCAGTTTTAAAATATCACTCAAAATTCCTTCAACTATATAACTTTTCAAACCTGTATTACTTCAAAATACACCCAGTTATTTATTGGTTGTTAAACTAAAGTTATTTAATATGTCTAGAGATAAAATTGTATACCATGAAATGGCCAATGTTTAATCTGGGCTTTGGGGAATAGGAACCTGGCTCTTGAAAGCAGAGGATAATAGAAATCTGCAGCAGTGGTGGCATGACAGATCCTTCCTATTACTCCTGTTCTGGCCAAAATAAGGTTGTGGACCATTTTTTATAAAACTTTTTGTATAATTGTAAATAAGAGTTGCTTTGCAAAAAAAAAAGGGGAAAAAAATAAGAAAAGAAAGAAAAAAAAAAAAAAGAAACAAAACCAAAAATTAAAAACAAAAGAAAAAGAGAAAAATTTAAAAAATATTTAATATTGCTTGGTTTGTTGTGTCAAACTTTAACTTTATATATTTATACGATGTGGTTGCCAAGAATGTTTTCAACAGTATTCTAAATAAAGACCCTTATTTATAAAAACTGTGGCGTTATCTTGACTTTCATTAGGGCTTCTAGAATTACTAGTGCATTTAGGAGTGGTATTAAGATCGCTGCCTTGGCAGGAAGAAGATACAGGCTCTGATTCAGCAAAGAAATCAAGAACATGCTTCAGTTGCACTACTTTCAACTACTTTGCATAAATGCATCGCCAAAAAGGGGTTTACTTTCTTCATATTATATCTTGGTCATTTGTAAACCAAGTCTTGTGCATCTGAGGTCTTTATTTAAAAGATCTGTAAGGTAAATAAGCGTGTTTTTCTTCTTCCCCTCAAAGTTTACAATTACATTATAGGACTTCATCTTAGAAAGATGTGTTAGAACTAGTAATCACTATAAATTAGACTCCTCAAATTCCAGTGCAGCTACTGTGACTTCAAGTCATATAACAGTATCTCACAAGACTAGGTACTACATTCTTGGACAAATGTTCAGATTTTTCCCAAGTTCTAATTTTCAAGTTTGTACCATGTTCATATGTTCTTAGGTGTTAGAAAATAATTGCAAAGTATTTTTTGTCATGAAGTTCAAGGTATAGATTCCTCAAGTTCAGGTTGAGGTATTCCTCAAGTTCAGGTTGGAATTTAGGCCAAAGATAGGCAGTTTTAATTTGGATTTGAACTTTACACATCTCTGGCAGCACTACTCCAGGGATTTACTTCTTGTTTAGAGCCTTTCTAAAAATAACCAGTGGGCTATGTTTCATTCAGTATATACGTGTAACCTTGCAAGCTTGCCATGAAACTGAAAAATGTTAAGCCCTGAGCAGGTTGTCATTGGTCAGCAGCCATCAGGGCATTTCTATACATTTGGACAAGAATAACCAGCAGCTACAGCCAATGTGAAACAACCAATTTCTTGTCATATCCCTGTGATTTATGGATTTTGTTTAAACATCACAGAAAAAAAAAGAACCCAACTCCACCCCCAAAACCAAACCAGATATCGTCATCAGCTCTAAATACTTTGATGATAGATTAGTTGCTGTACCCTCTCTTAGGTGACTATTAAAGAAGGAATTTGTGCAGCTCTTACCTCTTAAGCAGGAAAAAGAAAGAGGGAACAGCTAATTCCATAGGAATGTCTCCCACTCCTTTAGTCATGGGGACCTTGAAGATCAATGCTCCACAGAGAGGAGAAGAGTGAGTGGCCTTGTGTCAAGCAGAGCAACGTGCTTGCTTCTCCCTCCTCCTGGGGCAGAGGCATGCTTCAAACTTGCTGTCTTATCTGACACCAAAGGGGCAGGTAAGGTAGCAGCCATGGGGATTCCCTCCTCATCCATGCGCTTGTGGCCATGGTGGATGATAAATCGGCGTCGAGGCACAGGACCACTCTGCAGAGCAGGCCAGGCTCCCATGGATTGGAGGGGACTCTGAGGCAGGACCGGCCCCTCAACATCTTCATCAAAGTCCAACTTTGTAAGGGTGTCCCATTGATTTCACTGTGGGCAGAAAACAGTCCAGCCCATAGAGGTTGAGCTTACAGCTTTCAGTTTTCCATTAAAAATAAAAATTAAATTAACTTGACAATGTGCTAATTCATACTCGCATGAATCAGGAGGGTCTCTACTAAGATCAGAAAAATGCCCCAGGTTAGTTTGAAGCCAATATCTAACTTACAAAGTAACTTATAAAAACTAGAGACAGTTAGAGCCTCACAAATCAATGCCTCAGATCAACAATAAAATTTTCACTGCCTCCAGCAAACACTCGCTCAGGCCCACAACGCAAAAGACCAGAAGATGCTTTTGTGAAATACTACAGACCTTGCCATCCCCATACTCTGAGGCTGGTAAACATTAATTTTACTGTCATGAATGGCAACCAAGAAATACTCTGCCAGCTCAGGGACTACAGAGACTATACATACTGGCAGCACAAAGTCCATGCCCACCTCCCTACAGCACCCACTTCTGCAGGACACAATAGGTTTTACCTGGCCATAGAGCTGGCATGGCACAGCAGACACGGGGCACTTGTACTCAACAATGTACATGCAGTTCCATGTGAAGTCATGTATATTGCATTTCACTGATTTATTTTAGCAACCCAAGTTTCCACATACTGATGTTAATGTTACAACAGAGAACAAGCATTTAGCACATCCCAAAATAGATGGATGGATGAAGAAGAAAAAAAACATTCACAGATTTCCTATGCAGAGCCCATCTTTTTCCCATTGATGTCAGTGAGAAAAGTCCACTGGAGTAAGGCCAAAGGGCGTCAGTGCTGATAAATACACGTTAGGTTACAGCTATATTTATTTTTGAACTTAAATGAGGAAAATGTGTTCCCTGTGCAATTTCTTCCTGTCTATTTCTAAGGTAATATATTTAAAACAAATGCTTGAAGTTACTCTACTCCCCTGTGCATCAAGAGGACGGCACGTTACTGACAGAAGTATATCCCAGTCTATGTGCGCATATTTTGAAGCTGGAAATATTTGGATTCAGAGCTTTAACAGTGGCAGGGAACATAAGCAGACCTGAGGAACAGATACAAGAGTGATCCAACATTTACAAACTTTGATTCTTAAACTGGGCTCCTGAAGGTGTATTTAGGCATTTAGGGCTGATCTTAAACGACAAACTGCAGTCTAGCTTGGTCTAGGGAACACTCCGGCGTGGGCTACAGACTCACCAACAGCCTGAAATTCTCGGTTTATACCACACAGGTTCCAGCTGAATATTCTGCAGGATGGGGCACCTAAAGAAATACCGTCTGATTTTAAAAAAGCTGAATCCCGCAGATTACGCTGACATGCAGAGCCTGGCAGAAACTGGGGGTGGCTGCAAACCAGACCATCCTTTCCCCAGGCTGCCTCAGCAGGAGAGTACAGAGCCTGCCTGACCCTGGGTTTGGAGCTTTTCACTAAAGAAATTAGAATTGTCTGATGTTTCCTATGGAACGCTATATCCAAAGGCAAAGTCACACAGCTATAAATAACAGAAAGTAGCTGTCTTTGAACATAAAGATAAACGTGTATCTTGGAATGTTTGATTTCATTTGGTAATTTAAGAAAGCCCTTACTGGGACTGCATGACAAAACCAGTATTATCAGTTTACCTTATTCAAACTATTGCTATGGAAGAAGTGAAGAGGAATAAATTTATACCTCACTTATATATGCTAAGTGCTTTGCTTTTAAATTTCATCAGGTCATTTGCAAATATGAGGATGAAGAGGATCCTTTTTCTACTTTCAATATTTCACAACGAAAAAGTGCAATAAAGTTGCTGTTTTTTAAAAATAACAAAGTTATACACCGTTTCCGACATTATCACCGAAGCTCCTACAAAAAATTTTCACATACTGAAAATTCAATCTTAGGTAAAAGAAATATATGAACTATTCTTGGTATATTGTTCCTTTTAAAATATTTTATCATCTGTATCCAAAAAATATTAAAGAAATATTAAGTTGGCACTTGCTTTGCACCTGATTCTGCTTTTTAAAAATTACTTGTAATTTTAAACACAAGATAAAGACTTTACAAAACCCCACTGAATGTGGAAGGAAAAACAGTTTTCATTTTACAGCTTGTATTTTGCAGAGATTTGAAAAGGTCAAATTGTGCAACGGGCAAAACCCCCTCGTTTTACTCACAAAAATGGTATTATCATCTTCAGAAGAACTACATCCAAAAGTGAACAGACAAGCCAATATTTGTACCTCATACTGCCTGAATGTTAATGAGAAGAAATTCATATTTCCCTTCTGCTTAAAAATCATTAATTTGTTACTTGAAACCAGTGGCAGAACTTCCAACATCAGTGGGAAGAGTTTCAAGCTACTGCATGTAATACTGTCTGGGACAGCGTTCACGTAGTGGTGCAAAGTCATGATATCAAGTCCCTGCTGTGCCCCTTCACTGGTGCCCTGCTCACTGTCCCATTTCCATCACAGCCCCTTCGGATATGCTGATGCCCTGAGCACAACTGCACTGAACGACTCGGCAGGCTTTATGGCTCACCTGATCTTGAAATTACAAACAAGAAACTATCCCCATAGTAATGCTGAAAGTCTACAACATTTCCGAAATGTGTGGCTGATGCGGAGCCTGTGATGGCAGGAGATGGTATGAAGGTCATTTTGCAAAACTTGCATACGACAATCTTGACTTCGCTAACAGTAGGAAAATGGTCTCCGTACAGTCAGAGTGCAAATCTTTAGCGACACCATCTGCATTCACTGTGTGTTAAAGAGTGTGGGATGGAGAGAATAGGCCAAACATCCCAGAGATCATCTCATGAGGCATACCTGAGTACCTCATTAAGCACTATTTACTAATACTTCTCAGCTTGCCCTCTCTCAGCCTTTCAAATCACTTGTTTTCCAGTAAATCTGTTGAACAGTCATGATTTTCTCTCCTTGATCTATGCAGCACACTCCCTTCTCAAAAGGTTTGTTGCACAACTGGGAATGTCATTAAGTGGAGATCAATGGGTCTCCTTTCAATATTTGAGATTTTAAGGCTAATGAGGGAGAGAATGGTCCATAGTGTAATACAGAAGAGCCTCCAGATAGTTTTTTCCCACCCGGGTCCCACTAGGAATTAGGAATGCC